CTATCTGCATGTTTGACTCTAGAAAGGTTTTAATTGATAGTTTGTTGACATTTAAGTGAATTATTGCTAGAAACAAATAAATCATGCTAAGGCAGAATAAATAATCTCCAAACATCCATCCTTAGCTAATGGCATGCTATACGCCTTGGCTTAACTCTCCCAGAAATGATGACTCTAGGACCCATAAAGCCCGGTGGAACTCAGCAGAGAAGCTGCTGCTGGTGCCCATATTATTACAATATGAGCAACCTAGGAATCACACGTATGATAGATGAATCATAGCTGCAAAACGCCATCACCGGGGCTAGAGCTATTATTATTTTTCATTTCTGTTTGCACTTGAGAGTAGCGTGACTCTGAAGAGTAAATGGCATGCTGACAGAAGCAACCGCTTGAGCTGTGCTGCACCTTGCAGATTGCTGCCTTTTACATTTCTGATTTGTAAAATTTATAATAAGCCACAATATGCTTGACAAGTAACAAAGACATCTGAATTGTGCAGCTTGATCTGCGGGAGGGCAGTTTGGTGGAAAGGTGTCATATGTCGGTGAACTCTGGTTTGTTGGGAAAGCCACTTGAAATTATTTTGGCATAACTGAATTTGTACAAATTGAGGAGTGGAATTTGTACAAAATCAGCAGTGGAAATGAATTACTGGTTCATGCCAGTGTGATAATCATCATAGAGTGGCCTGAAGCCCATTAAATAAGCATGGATTCAGGCAAGCCCAGAGGATCAAAAGGAACGCATGGCACAATAGCTCTCAGAGACCTGGCGTCTGGGACCTAGGGCAAACAGATTCACCTCTCTGGGTATCGCCCCTTCTCAGGCTGCAGTGTCTGACCAAGGGTACAATCTTTGATGGTTGTTGTAAAGATTCAAAGGCATGTGCACTCAGGGACTGGGCCTGGCAGACGGTAGATGGCATATTACTGTTATATTTTATTAGTAGTAGTAAATTTGCTACTGCTGTCTTTATCATTATTTAATGTGGTATTTGGAAATATTAAAGAATGGCAAGGAGAAATAATGACTGCCAGGAGCTATTCAAGTTAATGTGATCTGCTATTGTTTGTTGAGATTTGTTTTTGTCTTTTTAAGACAGGCCTTTACCATGTAGTTCAGGCTGGTCTTGAACTCACTTTGTAACTCCGGCAGGCCTCGACCTCTTAGTGATCCTTTTGCCTCAGCCTCTGGAGTGCTGGGATTATGGGCACACACCACCACACCTGGTGATGCTAGTATTCTTAAAGTTTCAAGAAACGTTAGTCCTTGTCCGAATCATTTTTTTTTTAAATCAAGAGATTTTCAATATTGGGCTTTTAGTAGGGTGGCTGAGTGTTGCATAGTATGCTAAGTTCATACGATTTAGAAAACAAAAGCCATGTTCTGTTCTACTGCCACATGCTGGCCCTAGGTGTGGTTGCAGGTTATTTTGGCTCTCTGGGCCTTGATTTCCTGAACTGATAAGTGACTACCTTGTTTCCTATGGTCAAAATAATACGCTGATGTGAAAGTGCTATGAACAGCCGTCACTAGCCATAAAAACTCAGTTTGTCCCATGAGGCTGAGTTAGCTTGCTGTAGTGGGATTGTATCTGTAAGGGCATGGGGACAAGAAGAAAAGTGCTGGGAAATCAGACAAGGTGGACTCCAGCATACGAACCAGGAGGGCTAAGAAAGCGAAGCAGGAGCCCTAGTCTGAGAAATGGTGAGAGGGCCTTTCAAAGAAAGCCGACTGGTTTGAATTTGAACCACATTTGGAGAAAGGGGCCAAGCTAAAATGCATGAGGTAGAAGTATTTCCACTGCCTGGGGCACCGAGGAACAGTGGGGGGGGGGCGGGGGCCAGTTGTGCTGTGCTTGGTTAATAAAAGAAGTCTGCTGCAGTGTGGCATGAAGTGGGTTTGCATGTGTTCCTTTGCCAGGCTGTAAAGGGGGCAAGGGGGAGCAAGTGGGTGGGAAAGTTGGGGGAGCCACAGACAAAGATTTGCAGGGACAAACACAAATAATATGTGCCGCTTAAAGGTTTCTGCATGGGAGGTGGCAGTGAGGTGGCGCAGGGAGACAGTAACCTGCGCCTGAGATGGACACGAAGGGACTGGGAAGTGAGGGGAAACCTAGAGCAGCTGGCAGCCGGCCCTCCTCCTGTTGCTGCTTCTCCTTCTGCAGTTCCTCCTCCTCTTGCTCCACCTCCTCCTTCTCCGATTGCACCACCTCCTCCTCCTTCTGCTCCTCCTTCTCCAGCTCCATCTCCTCTTCCTCCTGTTCCGTTTTCTCCTCCCTCTCTTCCTCCTTCTCCTCCGCCTCCTGCTGCTCCTCTTCTCCTGTTCCATCTCTTTCTCCTGTCCCTTTTCCTCCTCCTTCCCTTCCTCCTCCTCCTCTTCCCTCTGCTCCCCCTCCTCCTGCTCATCCTGCTCCTCCCTTTGTTCCTTCTTCTCGTCCCCCGCTGCACCTGGGCTGGTACCCATCCTCCATGTATCTTGGCTTTAGAGAAGAAAGACCTTGCTCTTGACTCTACTTAGTTTGCAAAGTACTGCAGGGTACTGCAGGGGAGGTAGAAAGTACTCAAGGGGAGGTAGAAAAAAGAGGAAAGGCACTTCCTGTAAGAAGGAGGTAGATGGCGAACTGGGCAATGACCCTTCTTACTGTGGAATGGTCCACAGGTTTCCAAAGCCTTCAAACCAACTAGAATGTGAAAGTGTGATTTAAAAAAAAGTTAAGCAAGCACATTGTTGTGACATATAATGTGGTCCACAAAATTTTAAGAATTAGTCATAAAATTTGGGGCCTAGACTTCAAAAAGCTAATTTTTATTCTAAGTATGGGAAGTGAAACATTCCACTCTCCAATAAAGGAAAGCCCATTCATTAACAGCATTTTTGGGAAAACAAAAGAATTCTATACAATCTAAAGCCCTTCAAAAAATAAATACAAGCAGTCACATAGGTTTCCCTGGAATTTTAGGAACAACAGGACTTTTATTACTTTCTCAAAGGGTGCCATCTTTTATGAGTTTATCAATGCAACTTGCTTTTCTTTCCACGTTTGAACGAATTTCTGGTATTTCTCTAAGTGGTTCCTCCAGGACTGGACTGTTGGTCCCTGACAGGTGTTCGCCCTACTCCCCTCACTTAGCCTCTGTGTGAACCACTGAGGCACTGGGGCTGGGCTGTTCTTCAAGAGACAATTCTAGTGTGACAAGTTAAGCAGTGATTTCACATAGGTCCTGTATTCCTTTGGGAATTAAGCTGAAGCCCTGACTGACCTCATTTATGCTGTAACTCATGGCAGAAAGGGAGGAAAAAATAAGTTTACTGTTGAGACTAGACTCAGAGGAAGGTAACTGACAAGCAAACAAGGAATAAGCAGATGTTCTGTGTCCGCCCAATGGGAAGGACATGGTGGCTAAATTCCCAGGATGCATCATGCTGATGGACTTCATAATGGCGGCCTTGCTTGACTCTATGTGGGTCCCACAGTCCCAGGGACAGAAGTACTGCTGAGGTCCTGTCTTATTTTACAAAAGGGTCAGAATATCCCTAAACTCACAGGGTCCTCTCTGATCAGGGCTGTATGAGCCATTTCTTTAATAGTCACTAGTGATGTTCTTGAGCTGAATCAGGTACGAGGACATCCAGGTGCAGTGACATCAGGTGACAGGTTCTCCTGACTGCAATGGCTTTCTGCTCTTCCCTACTCTTTTGGCTGCATCTCACAAGACTTTTGTCCAACCCTGGGATGCAAAGAAAGCTTTTGTCTGTCAGAGAGTTCTGAGGAGAGAGACAGGATGACTGCCGACTGCCGAGTAAGAAAAGGAGTGGCTGAATGTTCAGCGGCATAAGTGGTTTTCACTTTAAAATTTGGTTTTATTAGTATAGACGTTTGCGGTCCATGCAGTTTACACTCATATTAGTGAGCAGGTCTGTGTGCACGGCACAGCCTGATTCTTATTCTCCTCGCACCCATCTCTCTCCCTCAGTCTCTGTATCGTCCTTCCCCATTTTCATTCTTATCATTCTTATTTTGAATTTATGCTTACAACATATGCTATTTACATATATTATGGTTTTATTACACATGTGCGTGACATCTTAAACATCGTTGCTACTTCCCCATCTCTTCCCTTCTCCCCTTTTTCTAGATAGAAAGCCTTCCTTGTTTTTCACATGGCTATACTGGTCATCATTCATCATACTAATGAGCATTTATCAGCTACTTGGTAGCTTATGAGAAAACTAGGGCAAGTGCTATTATACTCTTTTACATACAAGGAAGAGGGATTCAGAAAGATGAGGTCACCTGTCAAAAGTCACAGAAGCGACAAGTGGTAAAGCTGAGACAGGAACTCACTTCTGTGACTTGTATGTTTGCATGCTACTTTGTCTTATGATGCTGATATCCAGAGACAGTAGGCAGGTAGACTTTTCTGGTGTGACTTTGGTCTTTTATTTGGTTTGTTTAATGCAGGGAAAGTTAGTGTCATCTTTTTCCCACTTTGCTCTTCTTCCATGCCACTCTCACACATAAATTCACTCCATGAAGTCATATTTTCAACAGGTCACTAGTTGCAGGTCTTCCACAGCCCATCTTTGCCATCTCATCCCCTCACTAGAGGCCACCGTTTCTATAACCACATTCTATCAACAGCATGACAAGAGGCAGAAGTGAAGTTCTTTTAAAATGCCAAAAAGTAGGAAGATCAGATTAAGGTATGGTGCTTGAAGAGGGAAAGTCTGCTGAAGAAGGTGGTGAGTCTCTGTCTAGGAATCAGAAAGAAGACACAGAAGGATGTGGAAATGGACAGAAACTTAGTGACACTAGAAAATGGAGAGGGGACAGATATGAAATGAGGCAAGTGGTATAAGCAGAAACGTACAAAGTGGGACACAAGGACACTTGTCATGATGTTCCTTGAAAGGGAACAGTAATTATTTCAAGTAGCTTAAGCAGAGAGATGGCTGCCTTTTTAAAAGGCATGGCAATAAAAGTTTAAACTCACCCGCAAGATTTCTTCAACACAGCTTGGATCACTGGGAAGGCTTACCTAAAACAAATAGAAAAAAAAATTAAGTGAAATCCAGTTATTCTCAGGGAAGTTCACTGTATAATAGTTTACTCCATAGGACACATTATATAAAGGTTAAAAAATGTAACTTTCCAAATTTTTTGCCTGTTGACCATTAAGCAGTATTTGCAACTGGTCACTTTTGTTTGACTTCAGCCGAACAGGAAGGTCGTAGCTCAAGGTGCAGAAAGAAAATGACTCCTTATTCCATCACTGATATGCTATGGGACACTGAGACACCTCCCATTCTTCGGGTCTTGTGTTTGCCCATCTATCCAGAAGGAGCTTGATCCCATGATCCTTTAGGCCTCTTTGACCCTCTAATGGTTTAGTACAACATCCGCTTAAAAGACGAGACCTTATATAAAACAATTCTATGATTGAATTGAGTCCTCTTTGAAGCTGAGAGCTCAACTGGATGCCTCCTTTTTAAAAATTCAAGCCAGCAGTGGTGGCACACGCCTGTAACTCCAGCCTTGAGAAGCTGAGGCAGGAAGATCACATGTTTAACTCCAGCCTAGACTACATGGTGAGTTCAACCTAGCCTTGACTATGTAGCAATACCTTTGAAAATGTCTTTTTTTAAATCTAAAACAGGAAAGCTAAACAATTGTGTGAATCTCATGCTTGCCTTAGCACTTAGCAAGAGAATCTGATGAACTGTATTTCTCAATGTGGACACTTTGCTAATCAATCCGAATTCAAGGCACTTGTAGAAAAGTATTGGTGATCTACTCCATGTCAAACAAAATGGCCCCATTCTGCAGGAGCTGTGTAACTGGAGAAAGCAACAATCCAAGTACCAAAATAAGATGCCAGCTACAAGATGGGATGATTAAGGACCTGGGATTAGGACAACCCCCTGGAGAGATGTCTGCTAATCCTCACATCACCCGTGCATGTTATGAGCACACCCTAGACATTACTAATGCTCCTCTCCATGCCTTCACCCTCTGCAAGCCTGCTCACTTCCAATCTTCACCCCTGTTGCAATAAGGAGGATAGGGGGTGTCTTTCATTGGCTGACTTAGAATAGCCTAGAGAAAGCATCAACACCACTTCCACACACCCCAGGCCTTTGCAAAGGAAATATGCTACCCTGAGATTGCAATATGAGCTCAACTACATTTAAGGGAATGGGGAATAGACTAAAGTACCAGGTTTCCTCAATCTTAAAAAAATAAAAATACTGCAAATTGTCAGTTGGTATTAAAGTTGTACAGTAAATGTATTAATTTCAAGCAGTGCTTATTAAGTATCTTCTACATTCAAAGGTCCGTGCTCCAGGGAGTGTAAAATCTCTATGAGAGGAGGCAGGCAGAGACAGTCACTAATAACTTGGGGCTAGCCATACTGGATTATCCAGTGCAGTTCCTCTTTACCCTTGTTGTCCTAGTATAATTATTGATGGCATCCCCTTTCATACTCAAAATGTCCCAATTTGGCTCAAATTATATAATTATCCTACTACTACTACTAGTACTACTATAACACCAGCTATTTGGCTCAAAAAGTTGGTTCATTGTAAAAGAACCTTAAATTCTAGGTTTCAGAAAAAGAATCCACAGGTGACTCAGCCTAGCACAGTTAATTCAATCTTTCTCGTAACAAAAATTTTTGAAAGCCTAGGACTGAGCAACAGGTTGATGCTCGGTAAACATGCAACAGGAAGCAAAAAGAAGATTTAGTATCCTCCCTAGTAGAGTTTGTAGGCTCCACAGGAAAGTGGGTACGTGAGAGGAATCACAGTTAACACACCAGTATAACTGGCGGGCGCTACAATGACAAAGACTATTTCCTGGACACCAGTTTTGTTAAAATAAAAGGTTCTGTGTACAAGTAACTGTGAGAGATGCTGCCATCCTTGTCCTCCTCTCAAAGACCTGTGATGCATATCACACAAGATGAGACAAGGTCTGTTTTAATGTTGCACATCCCTGACTCACTTGATCCTTGCAATTCTGAATTTTCAGCTTTTATGTATAGTCTCCAATTAATGAATATTGCTATCCCATAGAATGTGTGTTCAGAGAAAGCACACGCCCAGGGAGAAGCTATGCTACCATATTATCGCATTATAGAGCTCACCTGGTCATTCTTAACAGTAAATAAAATCCCATTGCTGAATGCTCCAGTGACTGTCAAGAAAATTCTCGAACTTCCCACTAACACCTTCCCGAAACACAAAGGTCAAAAGGATTGTAAGTCTTCAATATCATTGCTGCGGGCTGCCTAAGCTAAACAAGTATGAACCAGTATCACCAAACGTCTATGCTGTCCTTGGGTCTATGAATCAATGTTAATTTTGAAATAAAGAGGAAAATATATCACTAATAATTACACATAGCAAGAGCACTTTGTTATGAGTCGAAAGAGTTAGGTGGGTTGCTTGGTCCCTTCCCATTGGAAATAGGACTTCACTCCTCTGAGTCCTGTTTTTTCAGCTGTAGTATAAATAAAATAATGGTGATACTCATCCTTGTTTAATATTACAGGGTTTCTGTGAGCATCAAACCCAATAAGTAAAAGGACTGTGCTATGAAACCTACAAAACACAATACACCGAGACACAGTTATTATCCCTCGCCTGTGATTCTCCTTACTTTTGTTATTAAAAGTCCAGGCTTCTTGCCTGTGCGAGCTAAGAGCTGACTCTTGTCAACTGAAAATATCATCTGTACACCTGGAATTACAAATGCCTATTCCTTTATGGAGGAAATGCTGTCAAAAGAGAAAGAATTGTGGGCTCTGGAGCTTTGCGGCAAATCCAATAACAACGAGTGCAATCAGTAACACTCTGGATTGAGAAGAACACTACAGAAAAGCGCAGTCAAATCAATCTGCATTTGCATCCAGCATTCAGATATCTGTCTTTTTTTTTTTTTTTTTTTTTGAGGTGACTAGTTCTGCAAATTCACCTAACCCAGCCCACAGCTGGCTTCTCCATAAGATAATTCCAGGGGAGTAGCATCAACCAGCCAACATTTATTTCCTACAAGCTTAGAACAGTGCTGGGCGCTGGGGGTGGGGGTGGGGGTAAGATAAATAACTGTGTGACTTGGCCTCTTTCTCTCAGAGTTAACTGTCTAGATGGGACAGGAAAACAAATAATTAGGGACCCACTGGGACATACATTGTAAGGTAGTCTGACAAGGGTAATAGGATCCTATTCATTCCCACTCCGCCTATTCATCAGTTCTCCCTCTGCTTCTTTAGACAACAAATCCTGATTGAGCTCACACTGTGCTCAGGATGGTGCCAAGGGGGAGGATTTAAAGGCGCTGAAGACAACACCACTTCTGCCTCTGAAGCTCCAAGCCAGTGGGACAGACAACACTTACAGGGGAAACAGACACTACCAAGCAGGGGATCTCATTTAGGTGCTAGGGAAAGGGTACCTACCGGGTTCATGGACAGAGCCATGTCTGCCAGAAGCTCCCAATCGCTGAGGTCCCCACTGTAGTCCTTACTCCATATGGGAGTGAAAAGCCAAGGATTTGACATGGCTGAGAAGTGCTGGGGCCACCTGAGGCCACTTGAGTTTCTGACCCCCCTGCAGCACAGCACCGCCAACACTCAAGGGAAACTGCACTAAGGCCCGGCTGGATTATGTCCTCTTGTGCTCTCTCTTTTCCTCTCAGGCACCCCTCACCCTACGCAACACACACCTCTCTGGGGAATTCTGGAGGAGCCACTCACACAGGTGTGACAGAGAGAGACTGAGGAGAGAACTAGTGGTGGCATTGGGATTAGAACTGCGGCCCATGGAGTTGCAAGCTGCTGCTTCATTCCAGAGCCACCTTTTCGAGACTCCCTTTAAATCCACTCTTGAGTATTCAGATAGCCCACAAAGCACAATTAGCCACTCAGAGCTGCAGCGTACTTTCAGGTTCCCCTTCTCCGCCCCCTCCTCCTAGAGCAGAAAGCAAGCTGCATGAGGATGCACAGGGGAGGCTGTGCGCTCCCTCCTGGCCCCATAGGACACTCTTGTGCTGGGCAGGGTAGAGGTTCCCTAAGGACCAGCGAAGAGAGGCACATGTCAGGCCGGTGACCAGTTGCCTGAGTGCTCTCACCAAGTGCCTACCCTCTCTGCATCTAGCGGTGTGGGCTGCCACCCCATGTAGCAGAGGGAGACCACGCACAGATCATCTGGCTGGTGATAAATAACATATCTTAGGAAATAATCAGGGTACCTTTAAATCATCAACTATTCAATTAACTGCAGCAACAATAAATGAATTGCATAGGATGTTTTAATCATTCTGGAATTAATCAGTTTGGAGCATACTTCCTGGTGATTAGGGTAATACAAGGTATCAAAAATACTCTGATTGTGGCATTGAGAGACACAAGCAGCAGCTACCAATAGTAAGCAGAAAACATGGAAATCAATGTAAAACATTAAAAGGAAAATGACCATTACATGCCTAACCCAGGGAAGTCAGATGCATGTCTCTGTGTAGATTTTTCCTAAGGGAATGCAAGGAAAAAGCACACATCTTTTTTTTTTTTTTTTTTTTTTTTTTTTTTTTTTTAAATCATCCTGAGGTTGTCCTGCAATGCCTGGCGACTAGAGCCCATTAACCTCAGTATTTTCCTCCTTGACAACACTTTCTTAAAGTAAAACTTAAAAATTGCAAGTTGGATTGCAAGTTTAGTAATGGGGCCCAGTTAAACAATATCCACCACTGGTACTGATGGCAGCCTCCAAACTAATTCTGTTTGTATTTTCATTAACAAAGCATCACATTTATCCCCATGATTGATTTATGGTACCCTGTGCTCCCTGGCATAATTATTAATAAGATGAAAACTTGGGTTTTAAAAAAAGGAAACAGCAGCCTGTGAGGTTCCTTTCTGCATGCCTCTGGGATCCCCTCATCTCCCATTTCAAGGAGTTCCAGTTTTCCACACTGAATTCCAGAAACTGCAAACTCCATTCACATTCTGTCTGTCCCCTGCTTCCTGTTTCACCTGAA